AGAGAGACCCATCTTGCAACTTTTGAAACAAAGCCTTCAACACTAACTGCAGCCTCTAAAGAGCACCCCAGAAGCAATCACCATGGCAGGGCATGGGATTGTCCTAAATGGCTGGAGCCAAGGATGTGCACAATCAACAGTACCTAAACAGAGCTCTACCGCATGGTGAGGGACATGCAACCACGAGGTCTGTAAGTAATGAATAAAAACCTGTTACCTTTGTCCTCTTTGAGCAAGAAAAGTAACAAGATGATCCTTTGAAGATTGGTCTGAAAGTATATTTAATCTGAACAAAAACAATGTAGCAAAATTTTACACTGATACGATAGTGGATTTGCATTGACACATTTGCTTTACTATTTACAAGGTAATTTTTTCTGACCTGAATTATATCCTCAACACCAACCGATGAGATTGGAAGGACAAGTGGCATTTACTCATGGGGGAGAAAACTAAAGCTTGGAGTAATTAGGCAAATTACCCAAGTATGCCCTCCAAGTAAATGGCTGAACTGGGATTGGAAGGAAAGGATTCATTGGTTTGTAATCTTGTGCTCATTCAGCAATACCACATTCTTTGGAGAGAGAGGCATTACCTCCATTTTTTATCTGGAAACCGAAGCTCAAAGATATTAAGCAACTGTGTGCCCAGCACTACTCAGCAAGTAACAGCAGAATTGAAATTCAAACCCTTATCTTCTGACTCCAGAGTCTGTGCTCATCCATTTACTACCTCAGTTGGCAAATCTCATAAAGGAACTGGGAATGCAAAGCGTTTCTTTCCCTTCACCCCTCGCCTGTGAACGGTGGGGCAATACCCTCTCTTCCCTCACTTAAAATCACTCATTGTAATACTCTATGGCAGGTGGTAAAAATTATCTATTTTAAGTTTATTCCAATACATGGAGATAAAATTCCTGGTAATTGTCCTATAACGTTTTTTTTTAATTGAAGTATAGTTGATTTACAATGTTGTGTTAATTTCTGCTGTACGGCAAAGAGACTCAGTTATACATATATACATTCTTTTTTATATTCTTTGCCATTATGTTTTTTTTGTTTTTTGTTTCTGCGGTACGCGGGCCTCTCACTTTTGTGGCCTCTCCCACCGCAGAGCACAGGCTCCGGACGCGCAGGCTCAGCGGCCATGGCTCACAGGCCCAGCCGCTCCGCGGCATGTGGGATCTTCCCAGACCGGGGCACAAACCCGTGTCCCCTGCATCAGCAGGAGGACTCTCAACCACTGTGCCACCAGGGAAGCCCTGCCATTATGGTTTATCTCAGGATATTGAATATAGTTCCTTGTGCTGTACAGTAGGACCTTGTTGTTTATCCCTTCTACATGTAATAGTTTGTATCTGTTAACCCCAAACTCCTAGTCCATCCCTCCCTCTTCCGCCTCCCTCTTGGCAACCTCAAGTCTGTTCTCTTTGTCTGTGAGTCTGTTTCTGTTTCGTAGATAGGTTTGTTTGTGTCATATTTTAGCTTCCACATATAATTGACATCATATGGTATTTGCCTTTCTCTTTCAGACTTACTTCACTTAGTATGATAATCTCTAGTTGCATCCATGTTGCTGCAAATGGCATTATTTCATCCTTTTTTATGGCTGAGTAATATTCCATTGTGTGTGTATGTGTGTGTGTGTGTGTGTGTGTGTGTGTGTACACACCACATCTTCTCTATCCATTCATCTGCTG